AAAAAAAAAAAAAAAAAAGATGAAAGCTGGGAATTTTTAGATTATAAGCAGAGCTTAATGGGTGATTCTTGTAGGATCTCAGAATCCCAATAGGAACATGGACTGTGTTCATTAGGTTTCAGAGAGAAATGAGGACTCTCTCAGAAATTGGACTAGATCCCACTCGTGTTATATTCTGATAAAGAACCCGTGTCCTGAGACTTTGTGTGAGCCTGAATTTAAAAGTGACAGACTGATTAATCTGGCAGAATAAATTCCAAGGCAACACAGTATTCAGTCCATGGCATAGATATTGCTGGCAGCATTTAGCCAAGTTTACAGTGAGAATTGGGAGCAGAAAACAACCAAAGAATTTTTAAAATTTGCAGTTTGGCCCAAAAAGTGCATGTAAAGCTAAGGTCAAGGAAGGTGTGCTTTTGAAGAGATTATAGCCCCTAAAGAGATGGTAAGTACTTCACACAGAGACCATAGGAAAGATGCTTTGAGGGTAGGGTATCTCAAGAATTTGCAAGACCATACCCATTACAGGTTCAAGGGTCTAGAAAGGAAACGTCCTTTGCAAAGAGAAAATGGTAGTATCCTGATTGCACAGGGGGGCCTACAAGTTGTTTCACCATGCTGAGATACACAAGTACTCAAAGGCCACAGCAGCCATGACACCAGGGGGCCCAGGTATTGCCAGACCCTGGCATTATCCACATGGTGCTGGTTCTACAGGAATACAGGATGCTTGAGTTAAGGGGTCATGAAGGCTTCCACCAACATTTCAAAGGAAAGCCTGAGAGGACAGGTAAAGTGCAGTAGAGTCACGGTCCCTATGCATCGATCCTGAGAGGATGATGTGTGAAGCTGTGAAGGTGAAGTCAAAGCTGGAAAGGCGACCTCAAGAATTAAGAGAAGTCAGTAACATGGACTGTCAAGAAAAGCCACTGGTTGTAGAGAAAGCCAGGCTAAAAGAGAGCCCATGTGTGCTACAACTGGCAAAGCAAGAACTGCCAAAGTCCTCTGGAGAGCACATAACACAGCCTTGTGTCCTGGAGGCTGTATGCAGAGTTACTGGCAGGGTTATGGGACTAGTTTGTCCAGCTGGGTTTCAGTCTTGCTCTGGCCTCATTCCTTCCTTCTATGCCTCTATTCCTCCCTTTTGAAATGGAACCGTTTATTCTGTGCCACTGTGTATTGGACAAAACCTGCTTTTGATTTTTACACAGGCTCACAGCCAGCAGTTTGCCTTGAATCTCAGATAAGATTTTGGACTTGGACTTTTGGGTAATGTTAAAACTGTTAAGACTATGGAACTACTGGAGATGAATTAAATGCATTTTACATTGCGAGATGGACCTGAACTTTTGGGGCCATAGGCCAGAATGTTATGGTTTGGATATGAGGTGACCCTCAAAATCTCCTGTTAATGCAGGAATACTCAGAGGTAAAATGATTCAATTATGAGGTGTGACCTAATCAGTCATTCTAGTTTGAATGACTGGGTGGTAAATGTAGGCAGGTGAGCATGGCTAAAGGAGGTGAGTCACTGGTGGCATTCCCTGGGAGGATATATCTTCCCTATCCCCTTCCCACCCAACCCCCACACATGTCTGTCTGTCTGTCTGTCTGTCTGTCTGTCTGTCTCTCTCTCTCTCTCTCTCTCTCTCTCTCTCTCTCTGCTTTCTGATCCCACCATGAGTTGAGCACTTTTCCTCCACAGGGCCCTTCCCCCATGATGTGCTGCCTCACCTTAGGCCCAAGGCAATGGAATTGGCCATCTATGAACTGAAACCCCTGAAACTGCAAGCTCCAAATAAACTTTTCCAAGTTGTTCTTGTCAGGTATTCTGGTCACAACAATACAAAAGCTGACTATAACAATTATTATTCCAGACCTTTCTCCTGGCCCTTCCCCATAATCACTGCTTCCTAGGTACAAAAGGTCACCTAACCAATTGGTGAGTTTGGGAGAAGAGACAGGACATGTGTGGGTTAGCCCCTTCCTCTCAGACATTCTAGACTGACATACAGTAAGGGTTTCCCCTGTAGGAAAGGCCTAGAATTGGAAGTGGGAAAATAAGTCTGAACCAGAGGAGTATGAGAACCACTTGTCCTCCTAATTAAGCCTATCTCCCACCAGAGCCCGATGAGTAAAAAGCTGATAGATCTCCCACTCTGATTGCCATATGCCTTTCTCACAACTGGTTCCAAATGTGAGCAGGAAACAGTGTTATCTATCAACTCCTACAACCCAGACACAGTCACACAATAAGCACTTCATAAACAGCAGCAAATGATAACTACTACTCAAAATTCTACATATATAAGGATGCATATGTGATGTGTATGTTGCTGATCAAACCCAGGGCCTCTTCCATAGTAGGCAAGCACTTGCCACTGAGTCACATCCCCAGCGTTCTATTTAGATTCTAATAAATACTGTCAAATGCAACACATATTATGGAACCCCTCTACAGAACAGAAATGGTGACACCAGAGCAGCAGGTCATAAAAGATGGAATAAGTTCATCAGAAAGACTAGTGCACCTGTTCCAAACAGAAAGAAAAGCATGCATTTGTTGGTGTTCCTAGAAATAAAAGCATAGGAATTGTGCAGAATGAGAGACAAGGCAACAGAGGTAAGTAGGGAACAGTTATAGAAGACCATGTGCTAAAAAAGCTTGGGATTTATACTATGCAAGTGACCCTCTACAAGGGCAGAAGAGTGACATGGTCAGAAGATGTTTGTGCCAGAAGACTATGACAATGGTCAGAAACTATAGATGGTCCTTTGAATCCAGTATGTCCAGCTAGAAAGGGCAAAGCTGAACAAAGAAGTCAAAACTGTTTCAGAGAAGTCAACTGACAAAGTAACTATTACCAGCTGCTCCCATGAACATTATCTATTACCCTTTGACCAAACCCCTCTACATTCTATTGTCATCTAGCTTCAAAAACCAAAAGTTCTGTCCAACCATATCTGTGTGTGTGTGTGTGTGTGTGTGTGTGTGTGTGTGTGTGTGTGTAAATCCCATGGTGGGAAAAAGCTGCCATCACTGCTGTGACAATCTCCACTTCCTCATACTTCCCCAGCATATTCCCCCATGATAACCCTTAACTGGCACTCCTGACCAGTTAGCCCAGGCACACAACTACCAAGAACTTCTGGGTCAGGAAGTGGCCACCAAAGGCGATCTAGTCCATTCCCAGACTTTTGCAAAGTTTTTCAGTCCAATTCCAGACTCTTTTACCATTGAAACTCTCTTTGTAAAAGTACTCTGCAATTTTCCAGGGCAACCAGAGAGAATATTTGAGTAAAGAGGTTTTCATTTTATCACCAGTCACCACGACCTTGCTATTCTCACCCAAATTTTTTGTTTCTTTTAGTTATACGTGACAGTAGAATGCATTTATACACTTTGATATATCACACACAGATGGGATATAATTTCTCATTTTTCTGAGTGTACATGTTATAGAATCACATTGGTCATACAGTCACATATATATGTGAAGTAATGTCTGTTCGTTCTACTATCCTTCCTACCCCCACATTCCCTCCTCTTCCCGCCCTTCATTTCCCTCTACCGAATCTAAGGTACCTCTATTCTTCTCTAGTTCCCTGCCCCCCTTATTGTTAATTAGCATCTGCATATTAAAGAAAACATTCAGCCTTTGGTTTTGGGGGATTGGCTTATTTCACTTAGCATGATATTCTCTAACTCTATCCATTTACTGCCATAATTTCATTCTTCTTTAAAGCTGAGTAATATTCCATTATACCACATATTCTTTATCCATTCATCTATTGAAGGACACCTAGGTTGGTTCCATAGTTTAGCTATTGTGAATTGAGCTGGTATAAACATTGATGTAGCTGAATTACTGTAGTATGCTGATTTTAAGTCCTTAGGGTATAAACCGAGGAGTGGGATAGCTGGGTCAAATGGTGGTTCCAATCCAAAATTTTCAAAGTCTTTATAGTGATAACAATTTATCTAGGTGTGAACTTACCTGTGAGTATAATAGTAAAATCCCAGCCACAGGCCACCTGTTGGATAGGACATCCAAGAAGGGATTTGCAGAGGGTAAAATACAGAACATCCTCTGTGTGACCAAGTCCCAGCTGCCCATCTTTGTTCAGGCCACAAACAAAAAGGCCTCCTCCATCTGCAAAATAAAGGTTTGGTGCTATTATACACAGGAGAAATCACAACTACCAAAGTGAGCAAAGGGGATTCGCTATTTGAAGTCAAAGATAAATAATTTTTTCTCACCCAAGTTAATGTTAATAACCCATGCATGTTCTGAAGACAAATGACATAGGGTCCAGGATCTCAAATCTAATATCTAAATGGAAACTCCAAGTCCTGGAGCAGAGGCCAATCAATCTCAAAATGCAGCAGCAACTATAACAAGAAGGTCAATGTTCATTTAATAGTTAGAATGTACTAGGGACTGTTCTAAGAACTTTATGTGTGAAGTCAATTCATCCTTTAGATATAGTATCTGGGGTCCACAATACTTTCAGAAGTCCATAAGAATGATTTAATTTCAAATTGTTTGAAAACGAAGACAAATTATATAATAGTAATACATATGTAATACAAAATCCAGTCTGGATTATATTAACCTTTACATAAATACCATTGTAAAATATATTTTTATAAGATGTAATTTTCAATATTTCTTTATAGAGGAAAGGGTCCATGAAAACAAAGTGCCAAAGATCCATGAAAGTTATAATGTAGCCCTGTTAATTCACCAAATTTCTTCATCCACCACTGTTATCCCCCCATAACAGATGAGGAGACCAAGGCTCAGAAAGATTATCTGCCTAAGGCCACACAGCTAATCCATCATAGAACCTGGACTTGAACCCAGGTAGTTTGATTCCAAGGTCATATTCTGAACCAGCTGCAAATGCCCTCCTCTGAAATACTGTAACACATATAGTACTCAGTAAGTACTATCCTAAATACTGTGAAATCTAGCAAGATCCTTGCTCTCAAGGAATATTCAATCTAACCGCAAAGATTTCTCATTCATGTGAAAGTTAAATAATAACATATGGCATAAAATATGATACATGTTGCAACTCTACCACTAATTAGCCTTGTGACTTTAAGCAGTATTCCTCCCTGAACTTCATTTGTATAACGTGGTGGATCTGGGGTGGCCCATAAGATCTCTGAAGTTCTTCTAGCTCTAACCACCTAGGATTCTCCAATGGTTACGTGGCTCTTTCAGAAAAATGTTCTCTGCAAAATACATAAGGCTGAAAGATGGCAACATAACAGCCTAGGGGAAAATGTCCTAAGAAAGAGTAGCTATCTACTTTTGAAGGAAATCACCTGTGACAATTGCAGAGTGGCCCCCTCCTCCTGTGATCCTCCTGACACACTCAGGTTTACAGAAGTCATTCAGTTGCTGGGGCAAAAGCACATCCTCCTTATGGCCAAGGCCAAGTTGGCCATAGCTATTTGCACCCTAAGGATAAAATAAGCCAAGGATGAAAAAATATAAAAACCATATTGTCAATGTCTATTTACCTGTCCCAATCTTCCTCACTCTGACATCCTCTCAGAGCCTACAACGGTTAACAGCTCACTAATTCTTAAAATGTGGGTTCTTATATGCAACCCTCATTAAGATGGCAACACTCGCCTCAGGAAACAGTTTCAAGAGGGATACTTTGCATCCACAACTTACCCAATGATAATATTCACCTTTCCCTTCCAATGCCCCAACACCCCTGTATTGCTTTTGGGAGACAGCATAGACTTTATTTATGATAAAAGCTAATTACCTAAGGAAGCTAGAGAAAGAAAAATGAGGGGGAGACGAGAACAAACTGGGCAGAAAATACTCTGGAACTAGTTCTTGATGTTTCTCCCCCCAACTTCACTGGAAAACTGGCAACAACTTTCTGTAATCAAAGTTAGCTAAGGATTTTGTGCAAGGTGTGTCATTATTTCATTTGTCCAATGAAAAAGGCTGACAGTGATCTCCAGGGGTTTTTCCAAGTACAATGTTTGTGACCCCAAGATTCACATGGTAAGATTCCTATGAGGGAACAGAGCTTCCCTTAGTAGGCCATGTCTATTGTTGTTATAACACAATAAAATTCCATAATCCCTAATCTGAAACCCTTGCAGTAAATATACTTCAGAAAAAAATTTTACAGGTTTTAAAAGCAAGATGGGGTGTGTGTGTGTGTGTGTGTGTGTATATATATATATATATATATATATATATATATATATAATATATATCCTGCTACAAAGTTCTAAGGCAACATTCCATAACCAAAACAGTAATATTTTTGCAGCCTATAAATAGCCTATGTCCAATAAGTTTTGGGTTTTCAGAATTAAAGATAAGGGATCATGGACCTACAGGGAAAATCATATTAAGATTTCAGGCTGGGCACAGTGGCACATGCCTGTAATCCCAGCAGCTTGGGAGGCTAAGGCAGGAAGATCGCCTCAGCAAAATTTAAGCAACTCAGTGAGACCCTGTCTCTAAATAAAATACAAAATAGGGCTGGGGATGTGGCTCAGTGGTCGAGTACCTTGCCCCTCAGTTTAATCCCCAGTACCAAAAAAAAAAAAAAAAGATTTCAGAAATTCTTATAATATTTTTCTACTTATTTATTCTACATTGCTTCTTCCTGGAGATGGGATAGCAAAAGTTTCTAAATATATTGTTTTTGAATTCACCTAAACAAAGAAAAGTGACTTAAAATAATGCATGCGAAACATAAAACAAAATCTTCATAGAGATCCTGGGCTGCAAGGACTACAGGATGCAAGAATAAGACATGGCAGGAGCACAGGGGCAATACAAATTCCAAACAATGAATACTCTTCATACTGGGCATTCACCTTTAACACTCACAGCAACTAAGGAGAAGGATACTATCACTCAGGTTTTACAAATAAAGAAACTAAGACTCAGGAAGCTTAAGTAACTTTCCATAGTTATACACCTGAGTAGGCAATAGGTTAGATTCCACATTCCTTTCACTAGACCCTACTCTTGTCTATAAGGGGGGAAAAAAGGAGGCAGGGGGGAGGGGTCAACTATATAACCCTATCTAAAATAGCACTTTACCACCTTTTTTTGCTTTGTTTTTCTTCATATCACTCCTTGACAGTATAGCATATGTTTACTTGTTTTCTGTCTACCTTCTCCACTAAAAAGTAAATTCTATGATGCAGAACTTTGTTTTCCACAATATTTGCCCTGTATCTGAAACTGTGCTGGCCTAGAGAAGATGTACATTATTTATATGGTGAGTGAATGTAAGGCTCTATAAGTCCCCACCTAGGAAAGGTCAGATCAAAGGCACAATAAGAAGTATAATGCACACGACTCAGTCAGCCCCAGATCTCCATGCCTGTCCCATAACCAGACTTGCAGGCTGTTGAACATGAGAAAAGTGAGACATGAGCATTCTGGGGTTCCGAATTATGGTACCAATTTTTGTAAAATGTAGCAAGATACCCTAAACCCAAGCTAAAACAAGATGAAGGAAAATTTAATTCCATCTTTGCTTGTATCCCTTACATTCCAAACACACCCCACTGTCGTCTTTCTCTCTCTCTCACACACACACACCCCTAAAGTAAATCCCCTTGTAATGGACTGAACTGTGATCCCCAAAACTCTTATGTTGAAGCCCTAGTCTCTAATACCTCAGAATATGACTATATTTGGAGGCAGTATCTTTTCAGAGGTTAATAAGGTTAAATAATGAGATCATAAAGATGGAGCCTGAACCCAATATGATTGGTCTTGTAAGAGACACCAGTGATGCTCACAAAGAAAAAGCCACATTAGACCTTACAAGAAACCTAAACTGCTGACATCTTGATCTTTGACTTGAAACCTCCAGAACTGTGAGAAAATAAATTTCTATTAAACCCCCCTAGTATAGGATATTTTGTTATTGTAGCCTAAGGAAACTAATACATGCACACAAAGATTTCAAAATAGGAAGAACAGACCATCAGCCCTCCAAATACAGGAGCTAGGTGAATTTCAACAATATTTCTATTTCAGTACAATCAAGAACATATTTGAAAAGCTTTTTCTATCAGATATTTCCTGTCCACAGACATCAGTTTCCTGATGTGAAAAAGCCAGAAACAGCATCTCCATCCCCAGCTCAAGTGCTACCTCAGAGAGTCAGCCATACAGGCCACACCACCCTCTCCCTTCTGCCACACTGCAGCCTTAAATTCAACAAGTGCCAGGCATGGACTGATAATTATTTTTTAAATCAGTCAATAAATGCTGATTTCAATACCAACACATGTGTTGTATGTGTGTTTATATCCTCCCCAATATAAGAGTTGGAATCTTTCACAACCAGCACATGTGGTTGCCACACAGGAACTCATTCATTCATCTTTTTTTTTTTTAACCCAGGATCAAACCTAGGGCCTCACACGTGATAGGCAAGCTGAGCCACAACCCCAGCCCTATCATTCATTCACTTTTTTAATCAACAAATATATGCTGAGGACCTGCAAGGTGCCAGGCACCAAGAGGGGCACTTCACAGTCTCACTGCCTCCCCTCACACTGTAGCCAAGGAGATTAATATTAGGAAATTGTACCTGCCATTACAATCGTAATGCGTACTCGCAAGAACCACGAGACTCAACATTTGCTTTGCTCCCATGCATGCATGCATGCCACACGCTTCCGTGCACAAAGCATCCTCAGACACACATAAGATAGGTCTCACTAAGGCTCGCATCAAGCCAACACCTGCCCAGTCTCCCTGGCCTCCAATACTGACAAGTTGTGGTCGCAGCAGGGTATCCGCAAATAAGCAGGGTCTGCGCCTAGCGTGCTGCCAGACACCACGGGCCTCACATCCAAAAGATGCTCTCGCCAGCTATGGTGGCGATAAGGAAGGCCCTCCATCCTCAGGCAACCCGAGATGGGCGGCACAGGTGGCCCCGTGGGCTCTGAGACGGGGCGATCCTCTCTCCACCCGGGCCTCCACGCAGGCATCCCAGGAGCTCTCATGGCCAGGGTCACATTCAGTAACTCTTGCCCCTCTGCTGACACAGGCCTCCAGCCCTTACCACCCAGTGGGTGGGAGGCCCTGGGAAGAACAGACCCCCAGACCTGGAGACAGGTTCCTCCCTCAGCGCCTCAGCCCCTCACGTCCCGACACCACAACTAGCAGGCCCCTAAATCGCCCCGTTAAGACCCTTCGCTCCCGTGCCTCCTCAAACCCAGCCCAGAATCCTCCAATCCTGTCTCGGCCCCCGACCCTTCTTCCCTCTGCCGCCCACGCGGACACCCCCACCTAGCAGGCCTAAGAGCCCCTAGGGCCGCCCCAAGCCCGGGGGCGGAGTCACGTACCCAAGCGAAGAGCGCTGGCGCGGCGGGGGCGGCCTCCGAGGCGGCGCACGGCTCGCGCTCCATGCCGGCACGCTCCGCCGGCGCTTCCGGGAGGGGCTGGCGCAGAGGAGGATTGACGCTGCGGAGACCCCGCGCGGGGGCGGGGCTGTCGACGCGGTGGGGCTGGGCGGGGCCGGGGAGCGGGACCTGTGGTAGTTTCGCTCGCCCCAAGAGACCAGTCGCGGACCAACCAGACCCAGCCAGGCCCGGCCACCCAGGAGGTTCCTCAAAGCCATTCCCCCGCCCCTGGCTTCTGGGGTGCCTGCCATTTGTCTCTCCCGCCCTCTCATCCTCTATACGTGGTAATAATTCCATACAGTTGCACTACGCTCATCAGTTGGCAAAGCTGCTCCACTTTTAGCTCCTCGGAATCCCACACAACCCAAAGGGGTGTCTGGGCCGGGATTGTGTGATCGCTGAACTGTGGTGCCCTGCTTTTTTGTGCATTTGCAAAGCCGAAGGAAGATTTTTGGTAGCCGAGTGTGGTGTCCTGCGTTGTTCTTTCCCTTGATTCCCGGAACAGAGCGGAGGACTCTCACCTCGCAGCTGAATTGAGGCTGGTTGGCGTCTATTCCTGCAGGCAACCTCCCACCCTCTTTGCTTGTGCATGGCCTACCCTAATTCTGATGGTTAATAACAGATAATTTTCCTCCAATAAAGATTTTTCATATAAAATGACTTTTATGAAACACCGTCATACTGCTTGTGGAAGTTAAATAAGTAAAATTTTCCTGAAGGAAAATGTGCCAGTACATATTAGGAATATGGGATTAGGATCTGGGAACAAATGGGGTCACATTCGGTAACCCTTGACCCTCTGCTAACACAGGCCTCCAGCCCTTACCACCCTGTGGCTGGGAGCCCATGGGGAAATGTTTCAGAGATGAGCTTCTCCCCAGGCCTTTCCTGATTTTTCACTCTCCACTCCTTAAGGTTTCTACCACCTCAAGCCTTTACCATTCCAGCCTGTGGAATCTTGAGAACATCAGTGATGGTAATAAGACTTTAGAGAGGCAATGTGGTGTCATTCTCTTGACCTTGATGTGTGCCAAATGCCAAAGTCTCGGCTTGGCACCAGAATCACGAGCCACCACACACCTTTGTAGGTTCAAACAGCAATTCTTTATTCCCGCTCTCACACCGCCTCCACACAGGTCCAGGGGCAATGGCGTTCTCTGTCTGCCCCCACAATTCACCTACTCCACGAGGCTATCTCCAAATCCCATTTTAATCTCACGAGAACTCAACGGGAACAAGCAACAGGAACACCCTAATCCCAGCAATAATCTTCAACCTCTAACTTCCCTAAAACCCATTATCTTAAACTGGCAACACCTTAAACTCAAGGAGCCGGTTACTTCCTCAAACCTGATCAGCTATAAACCCGGATCCGCCTTGGTCCTTGAGCAAGGTCACCTTATTAAAGCATGTATGCAATGTCCCTTCAAATGTCCTCTAAGCAGCATGGGGTACACTTGGCAAGGAAATTTCGATGCGTCATTCCTACTTGGTAATGGCCCTCAGCAGATGTGTAGAAACTATATGCCATGTTTGTTGGGGAGGGGGGTGTTACTTTCAGAAATGTAAAAGTTGGACCCTTCCTCTCTTGGCTTTGACTGAGTCCCTAAGGCAATAAGTGCCAATTACTTCTGCATTTATAAAGTGAGGTGGAAGATAGCCAAAGCAGAACTTATAAAACAGGTGTCTAGAAACCAGTGTGTGACTTCCAGTCTAAGAAAGTTTGGGGAGGAGAGTAGTCTAATAAGACCCTCGGGCCACAGTTATCAATGTGATGTGAGTCCCACCCATCTCATGTCCAAGGAAAGTTACTTCAGCAGAACTAAGAAAGTCTGATGTGTATTCCTGCAGATTGGGCTGGCTGCTGTTTAGTTCATGCTGAGAAACCCAGTGTGTTGTGGTCAATAACAGCTCTGATAGCTGAGCAATAAGAAACTGATGCCTTCTGGAGGTCTTTCACATACAGAGTTACTCAGGATACAAAACCAGATGCACACCTGCAGTCCCACCTACTTGGGAAGGTGAGGCCAGAAGATCACTTCAACCCAGGAGTTCATCCAGCCTGGGCAACATAGTGAGACCCTCATCTCCAACACAAAACAAAAAAGAACATCTGAGTATCTCCTGTGCATCTGGTTTCGTATGAACAAACTGGTTCAGACTAAGTCTAAGGAAATTTCCAGAGATGTGAAATGACACCCATAGGAGAATTAACCACTAGCTTCCCAGTGGCTGATGGGAATGGATTCAGTAGTCCTGTCAGAGAGATAACATTTACCCACATGGAGATGTTTTGTCTTCCAAAACACCCTCAAGAGAGCGAGTCAGCATTAAATACTCACCAAGTACAGAAAGCTCTAGTACAGCATCAGGCCTAAAAGAACTTTTCTATTCCTTAATCCTCCACCGCACTACTATTCTCCAATCCTGGAGGAGTCTGAGGCATCCTACTGAGTGGGGAAGAAGGATCAAGGAAGAAAAGAAACTAATGAATTCTTTTTTCAATTCTGGAGAAAGAAAAAAAGGATTTAACCTTAACATTTGATGTTTTAAATTTTTACACAGGACTGGACTTTTAAAATATGAAAGTGTGTGCATGTAAAAGGGCATTGGGGGGAAGGAGCTAAGGAATTTTTTTTTTTTAATCTGCATGTGAGCAACAAAGTGGAGGCAGTGACCTGAAACTTCACCAAAGATGCAAAGAAGAACAACCTAAAAAAAAACAGTTTTTTAAAAATATATATATATTTAGTTGTAGATGGACACAATACCTTTATTTATTTATTTTTTATGTGGCACTGAGGATTGAACCCAGTGCCTCATAAGTGCGTGTGTGCCAGGCAAGTACTCCACCACTGAGCTACAGCCCCAGCCCCAAATCAGTTTTTAACAGAGTCTAGGAGAGTATATTTATTTTCTAACTTTATGAATGTACATGCATCAATACTTACCTAATCTACAGTAATGTTATATACCTTACTACAGTTTCTTAGAAATGTTGAGATGTAGCAACTACTTCAACTATGTACATGCCCCTAGGGAGTTCTTCCCAGGTGCAGCATGGTTGGGTTGCAGTTCTTGAACAGGAATAGATTTCACTCTTTGATAGAATCACTTTCAGATGGCTCATCTCCCCTAAGAGGAAAGTAAAAATCCTTGGGCTCACACAGATTATATTTCTGAACAATATGGGTTAGAAATTTTTTTTTCCATTTTATAATTTTACTTGATCCTCCCAATAATACTAATATGAGTATTGTTGGGATAATTATTTTGTAATTGAGAAAATGCACAAAGAAGGTAAATGATGGTGTTCCCAGCTCACATTTCTTCTTTTGATACAAGAAGATCAGCTAACTGCTAATCAATTTTTTTCTCACCAAAAACAACTAGAAAAGCTGGCAGAAAATATTTTTAAAATCTGTTTCAAGTCATTGGAGAGCTATCAAAGCAGCAGGAACTTGAAGGGCCATGATCTGGAAGCTGAGAGATTATATTTGGCACTACTTTTCTCCTGGAAGCACTTGCTAATTAGCAAGCAATGTCTTGGAGGCCAAGAATCTGGGCTGAAGGCAGCAGCTGAGAAACTAAGCAGTAATTTTAGTAATTTTCAGAGCTGAGGGGAAGGAAGGGTGAGAGCAAGGAAGGGGAAAAAAGTAGAAGTTCAGGTCCCCAAAGAAGTGCAGCCCTAGTACACATTCATAGCTTTCATTTGGAATCCCTAAAGGACTACACCTTGAGAGCAGAAGTAAACTGGAAATTGACCAACCTCACAGAGACCCAAGCTCAGCTTCTCATTACTCCATCCCTAACTGAACTAAGATCATCCCATGCCATAATAATACCTGTACTGCCTGCTAGAAGCAAAAGTTAATCCTCTGGAGAAGATAAAATCACACAGAAACTATGGAGGAATCTCTGATTAGAAGAGTGATTATGTATTATGTATTATGGTGATTCTTTATATGTAGACAATAAAGTTTCTTTTTACAAAGTTCTCTCATAACATGATTTCTCCTGTAACCCAATGCAGTAGATTTAGTTTAGTAGATTCAGTTTATCTTTCAGATGAGAAACATGAGATCAAGACTCTTCCAAGAATTCTGGAAGGTAGTTACAGGGTTCCAGGTGTGCTTGGCTTCTATTATATCTCATAGCCAAGGTTTTTTTAAAATATTTTTTTAGTTGTCCATGGACCTTTATTTTATTTATTTATATGCAATGCTGAGAATCAAACCCAGTGCCTCACACATGCTAGGCAAGCACTCCACCACTGAGCTATAATCCCAGCCCCTAGCCATAGGTTTTTTTAAGAAGGATAACACTATGAT